TTGTCAGATTTGACCAGATTGGCAAATTGGCAAATTGACTGGCAAGTACCTTTCTATCGTTACCAACCCTCCAACCTCTGCATCTGAAAAACCAATTGGAACTCAAGTAAGTCCCTGATATATATATATATATATATATTGTGTTATTGCAAAATTGCTATCATGTAGCAAAGAAGAAAAAGAAAAAGTGTATATTTATATTGCGCATATCGAGTGTTGAATATTCCCGCAGAAGGGCACCAGGAAAGGTAGCCAAGAGAAAGAAAAAGAAAGAGAAAAATATTTTGAGAGAAGAAAAAGTAAAAATAGAATTGAAAGACAAGATTCATGGAAAGAAATTCTTGTGGTTGTGATTATTCCTGAGAGACGTCTCAGAAGGCTTTAAAGAGGCCAAGGAAAGGCTGAAAAGCAAATAGAGAAAGTTTTTATCTCTAGTAATTCCTTTTTGAAGGAAGTAGTTTTTGAAGGAAAGAAAGAGAGAAATATTTTTAGACAAACATGTCTGATGCATACAAGGAATTTCGTGAATTTGCGCGTCTCTCTGCTGCTCAACAAGTGCTAAAGGCAGAGCAGAAGATTAATTATTTTGATCAGCAAATTGCTGCAGTACAGCAAGAACTGGCTCAGCCCAACATCACGGAGCCAAGAAAACTTACTTTGACAAATTTGCAAAAAGCGCACGAAGCTGCTGAGAAATATTGGACGGATCTCCATAAGGATCTCAAACCAACAGTACAGGCGATGCAAGAGTCATCAGCCCTGCTGGAAGGAATCCAAGCCAAAATTCTGTCTCAGCTCAACAAAAATGAGGCAGAACAGAAAAGAAGAGAATTAAATGAGATGATGGGATTGAAAGAATCCGATCTAAAAAATAACATCTCTGCTGAACAACTACAGAGACCAAGTGCAGCGGAAGCACTATTCTTTCAAATGAAAACAAAGAAAGAAGATGGACCAGTTGGCAGTATACAAGTTACAACCTCCATCATAAACAACATTCCTATCTTCACAGGAGATGAAAAACAATCCTGGTTCAAGTGGTGGACAATATTTAAATTATCCATTACTGATTGCAATATCTTGAACAGCCAATTAAAAATGCTTTTATTGCAAAAGATACAAGGACCAGCTAAGAACTTTCTCCTGGGAATACCAGGACTGCTAGAAAAAGACTATAGGTACATTATTCAACAATTGCAAGACATGTACCAGGATAAAACAATCAATGGAGGAATAAGGGATCTCCAAAGGATCGCTCAAGGAGCTAACAAAAGAGTGCGTTGTTGTCCTTTCTATTACAGGACTGAGTTGAGAATAAAAGAACCAAGTTCTTATTCTGGGTCAATACTCTTTATACAATATTCTCATCCACATACAGGCATTCAATACAACAATACAAATACACAAACACACAAGTCCAGCTTGTACTTTACTTCGAAATAGGTTTGAGCTTTAACAGAGCTTTGGCTATGGAGTTTACTGGATGAAGCTTGGATGAGATCTCTCTTTAGATTTCACCAAGCAGGGGTATTTAAACCTAGCCAGCCTAGATGGGGGAAACAAAGGAAACAATCATCGCGACCCTAATAGCGGAAATCCCAATCCGTGAAATGAACAGAGTGGAAATTGCTCTGAGTGAAATATAATTGCGCTGGTTACACATCAGTGATAATGACCATGCGCAACAAGAACAAGACAACCGAATATCACTCAAATTTCGTAAAGAGTTGAGCCCACCAGGGTTTCAGGATTGATTGTACTTTAATTACCATAGGAAGGTTATTGTAGCTTGTCATGAGAAGTTGTCAAGACTTCTCATCAAGGAAATTGCAGCGATTATCTTCGCTTTAGCAATTTCCCATTTCTAGGCTTTCTAAAAGGTTTCTTCTGAAACTACCAAAAAGGGACTTCTGTAAGTTACTGTATTTCTAANGGAGCCATAAAGGCTTTATGGAAATGGCAATTGTTATTGCTATCCATCAGGAGGAATCAGGCATGGATCCGACAGATGTTCGGATCAAGAAGAATGGAAATATCTTCTTCAGTTGGCATTGAGTGCCATTTGTTAACAGATGATCCGTTGGGCCTGAAATTTTGGCGGTTAACTTTGGTGAGCATTGTTAGCTTAGTCTATTTTTTTCAAATTTTTCTGACTGTAACTTTTTGATTTTCGTCTCGAACGCGGATGCGTTGTTAACGACTTCCTGTCTCCAAAAGTCGACAAAAGTTGATGGGTCTCCTGGAGCTGGTGGCCTCAAACATTGTTTCACGAATCGTTTGTTTGGTTAGTGACTTTGTGCTGTTGGGGATCTTCAACTTCATCAAGAAGAAAATTCAGCAAGTAAAAAGTGAGTGCCCAAAAAAAAAATTTTATTTTCAGAAATAACAATTTTTTGAAATTTTCACAGATGGCGTTCCTGAGGCTTCTGGTGTTGCTGGTCGTCGGTGTTGCGGCTGCTGGGGCGGACTGTGGTCCCGAGGACGGGGCGTTTGTGTGTCGGGACGTCTGCGGCGAGGAGGTGAGAGGCGCCGGCGGTTACGGACGCCGCGTGACGTTCGTCGGAGCAACGCTATTTTTGGACTGCGTCAGGCAGGCGGACCTCAAGGTGAGAGTCTGGTCAAAGTGGGTCGAGTGATAGGTATGACAGCCAGTTTTTGTCTGTAGGAGGTGAAACTGCTGTCCCCGACGGTGTGCGTCGGACGTCGGTCCGAGATGGATCAAGTGGTGACGCCGTGGAGGTGGTGCAAGGAGGTCGTGCCCCCCGAACCGGAGATCTCGACGGCGGCAGTTCCGCCGGTGGTTGGTGAGTTTGTTTTGTCAGCTTTTCCACACAAGCATAAACATTACAAAAACAACACTCACAACACATATCTCATTTCATATAGCATCATAACACATAGCCAACACCTTACTCTATACAAAAAATAATTTTCCTTCACCAGATATTAATAAAAATTTTGTATGCACAGATGAGCCTTGCCCGGTGGCGCCGATGGCCAACCTGTCGGTTGTCCACGTGCCGGCAAGCAAAAAGCCGTTCGTGGTTTGGGCGCCGCCCTCGACGCAGCAAAGCATCGTAGTGGCCCATGAGGTGCCACACGTCATCAAGGCACCGTCGTCTACGCCGGAGGTGACGGTCAACATCAAACATGGTGTTGCACACATCGAGGCAGACGTGGACCCTTGGATGGCCATGGTCCTGGTTTTTATGGGCCTTGGTGGGGCTGGAGCCACGTCTCTGGCTGTATTTTTGGTTTGGCTTGTGAAGTTCATCAGGAACAAGGTTAGCCAATTTTTCTTTTTGTTTTAATAAAAATGATTAACAATGCTTTTGCTTTCATGCTTGCTTTGCTTTTTTGTGCATGCCTTTAAAAAATAGAGGAAGAAAAGAATTCTAAAGCTGGATAAAGCTAAAGTTAAAGAATGCATAGTAGGATCTATGCCCAACATATTTTTTAATGGGCTAGATTCTGATGATGAAGAGTTTGAAGTTTTCTCTCAGAATTATGCTGATATCAGGGCTAGATCCCCAAGAGTTTCTACATTTAGACAAGGAAAACAAAAATAGCATGTAAATACAAAACAGCGCATGCAATAATTTTTTATGCTTTGCTTGGGGCTTTTTCTTTTTTTCTTTTTGTACAGTCATCGTACATGCAGGAGTTGGTGCGTATGCTGACGCCGGAGGATCAGCCGGATTCGGAAGCCCAACCAGTGGTGGATCTGCTGGGGCTGGAAGAGGCGGATAAACCCGTTGCAGAAGAGAAAGAGGAAGAGTTGGTCCTTGAGGACAATAATCCTTTTAAAGAGATGTTGAACGCGTAGATATAAAATCGCGTCAAAGAAAGAGAGTGCCATTTTCGTACCCGCATTTTTATATGGGTCTCTTGGCAATAGAGAAATTGTAAAAAGAATTTCTGGCCTCTGATTTTCTTTTTTGTTTGCCTTTTCCAGCCAAATTCCTTTTCTGAAAGTGATCAGCAAATGGACAAGATTCCTGTGGAGGAGTCCATCTCTAATCCAGGGTAAATTGCAGGTTTAGGAGTAGGAGATTGAATAAATCTCACAGATGCTTGGGCATCATCAGTTCTCCTGGAAGGAGGGGATCTCCTAAGTTGTAAGACACAGCAAACCTTGGCATAGCATAGATAAACAAGACACAGTAGGATAATGAGCAACAATGAGACTGACACAATCATAAATATAACCGTAGTCTCTAAAAGGAATTTGTAGCTCACTGATGTCTGA